TCCTGTAGCACTACGTAATTACGTAATAAAATATTTGATTTCCGTAAATATGTTCAAGTCCACATTTTCCTCTTTTTTAAGTAGATCATATTTAAGGGTCGGGTTTATTCATGTAGTGTAGTGCGTATGAACAAATCTTCGCGGTCGCAATTTTAAGTCATGGTCCCACCAAGAGCAAAACTCCGGCATAGACTATTCCAACCAGGCTTGGCTTGCGAAACGGGCGCTTGTAAGTATACGGGTAACTTGGTAACGTAGTTTTGCCAAACTACTTTTTCCTCTGCATTTCTGACGCATTGCACCCTCGAAGAGCAATAGTGCGGGGACAACAGATTTACAAACCGGCGCAAACCAGGAATTACGAAATCATTTGGAACGCTTTAATCATGTATGAGTTCGCGCCTGCAGACCTGCAACCAGGCTTGCAACGACGCTTAAAGGTATATGACTCGCTGCGTGAATTGAATTGTTGCCTTATTTTACGTGGCGAGTCTCAGGCCATGCTCTTTCGTCTGACCACACAAATTTCAATACGCTTCTTTCACCAACTAGGCGGAGAAAGAAGGGTGACGAACAGGCGATTTGAGTTTAACTCAAGGCTTCATTTTAGACTCTCATGCTTTTACATGCAATAAATCTACTAACAGGAAGGGGTTTACTTCTCCTTCGAAGGCGTAGAAGGCTTTTTAGCCATAAAAATCCATTGCACCGATCGGGTTTGAACTTCCGAACTTTGGTATAACAGTCCCGATACGTTAACTGCTGCAGAGATGTATAATAGTATAGTGAGTGTCGAATTCCGCGACCGCGACTAATTCGCCCCGCAGTCCTGACCCCATTGTCACTACAAAGAGCAAACAATGCGAGGGCAACAAGAGACGCAAACGAGGCTTGCAACGACGCTTAAAGGTATTTGGGTCGCTTGAGTATGGTATGGAGAGTGTCGAACTACTCTTCGCTCACGCAGTCCTGACTCATTTTCCCTACCAAGAGCAACAATGCGAGGGCAACTAGAGACGCAAACCAGGCTTGCGTCGGCGCTTGAAGTCGCTTGAGTCGCGTAGCGCAGCGGCGGGCGACGGCTGTTCCCACGCCGCGACGCGAGTCGCGCGCCCCGGGTGGACGCGCAGGGGCGTGGCGGCGCGCGAGGGCGGCCACGCGTGACGGACGCACAGCGACGCACGGGGCGCCCCGCCGAGCGCAGCTTCCTGCCGCCGATTGGGCCTCTGCGCGTGCGAACAGCGGACAGCCCGTGTGTTCAGGGCCGGATCCTATAAGCTTATCTTCGATGCAAGAGCTTCGGAGCTGACCAACACATCACAGACGATTTTTTGTAAATTGATTATGATTTTATTTGGATGTGTTCAAAACAAAAGATTGCTAATGAAACTCACAGACTATCTTTACGATCTTTAGTGCATTGTAAATGTCGCGTCAGAAATAAGGAAAGACCATGAAAAATAGGGGATGTTAAGCTTTTGTGCCTCTCACCTACAAATTGGATAAGAACTTCAAAAAACTGGAAATTGACATACACAATATATCTATGAAATAATAATTTTACAAAAACAAACATTAGATTTTTATTGAAAGCATTAGTTATCCAATCATGTACTTGATATAGAAGAGCGAGATCGTTCTAGAACTTTTCTACAAGAAACATTTCCTCTCTCGCGATTACATGTTTTTGCTGTCGCCGGACGTGGAAATTTCTCCCATTTACAACGGCGTGGGCAGCGGTTTCCGAGTACGAAGTGATTTTTGTTGAGAAAGGTAGTAAAAAGGGCGGAAAGGCGATCACTTTGCTTAGAAGAGAGAAATTACCTTGGAAACCTTTTGCCCGATAACATCCCGACTGAAGACGTCTCTTGTTTTATAATCGAGATCGACCAGACAACGAACACTTTCTCTCCTGAGTTAAGTTACGAGAGCAAGTGACGTAATAAATGTGATTTATGACTCGAAACACTACGACAAAGTGACGCCTATATTATAAGAGACAAACATTAAGTAAGTTTCTAATTTCCTTCACCTATTAAATAATATACACAATCAAAATTATCATAGACCAAATAAAAATATAAAGAAAACTACAAGTAAAATAATTAAAATCTTTCAACTTTTAAAATACCTCTCCTTTTAAAATATTTCTACCTCTCTCGCTGCAAATTGTCCCAGTTCTGATATTCATTCATATTGCTAAATACGTTCGAAAATTCTTTCATACATTTGCGGATATCATCTTTGTGGATATCCTCATAGTTTCTTCGGAAGAGTCCCAACGTACGGCATTTAAAGTGCTGTACACCCTGTTACTGATTGGTGAACAGCATTACTAGCTTCTCGTATTCAAGACACGGTCAATCGTTTATAACCCAACACTGTATGTGTCATAAGTATACAATGCTCAAACTGGCTTTTTTGAAAGAGTGGGATGATAAAAAATACGAACAAATCTAGGGATTAATATTTACTTTTAACATTAAACAAGTCATTTTATAGGAATCAAGTAGCTACATAGTGAAAATGCAAAACACACACAAGTTTCTTATCGCTTGGGCTTTTTCATTAGAAAATTTAGGACCATTGTTAAACAATTTACGACGTTACTGGCAGCAGACAATGTCGCAGAATGTCTTTTAGGAATTTCTTTTCCTGTACTTGCTTACAGAAATTTGAAGGAAGGCACATTTCTTGCTGGCAACAGCGCCTCTACGTCCAACTACCATTTGAGGCCACGCTCACCGAACACAACATTTACAACGTGCGAGGCCAAGAAAATAACCCGACGCGTGTCTTGGTTTACGAACGAAAACACGAGCGCTTGAGACAAAATTAGCCCACGCTCAGGGGGGCTGGATAACTAAACCTTCTTATTGGGAGATGTGAAGGCTCCCTACGGTTGGCAGAAGCACGCCTCGTGCCACGTTCTCCTCAGAAGAGCCTAGGGCTGAGAAAAGACACGATCAGCTCTGTTTTCCTACGGCGATGGCGCTGGCAAAAGCTGAAGCACAATTCCCAAAGGATATAGCAAGCCTGCCTCATCTCGCTTCAAACGGGCGCGAGCGCTCGCCTTGGCTCCGAGCGGAATCCCGAGCTGAGACGGGTTATCGCGGGTAGACGGTCGCACGTGGTTGGGCGGAAAGGGTACACTGAGTTCTGAGTAGGCAGCGCCTTTTGACGAAAGGGGGAATGAGCAAATCTTCAGAACGCTTTGCCGAACGCATCGTTTATCGCGGTACCCGACGATACGTTCCCAGAGAGGGAACGGTGTGATTTGGGCACAACAAATGCGTTGGTATTTAGAAGGGTCATTTTCTTAATTATACAGTTATACAAACTGAGCAAACAGACTTAAAATCTAATTATTCAAGCATTTTTCATCTTCAAAAAATGTTTCTAGCTGGATAAGGAAGTAAAGTCGCCAAATAAAGTACGTTTGTGCAATTATTTTGATACAAAATTAATTTTCAATTGGATCCTATTCCACTCATGTAGCAAAAAGGTGATTTTTACATTATATATTTAACATATGTATGGTTCTTACTTTTTAAAATAAAATCCCTTCATTATACCCTAAATGCCCTATAGTTCGTGATAATGTATGCTTTGAAACAATTTCTGAAATAACTGCTGGTTTTAAGAAATATCAAGATTTCACTCCACAGCAGATACTAGCGTCAGAACAATACAAACCACTTAAAGTACTATGAAATTCCCTTACTAGAAAAAAATCTAGCGTTTTAACAAGCGATAAAAACATGGCATTTTAACACACGTCGCCTTACAACATATGCAAAGCGACACCGCTAACAATTGCCAACACTAAATACCTATAGGGTCGAAACGGTGGTTGGCAATATTGCGAAATGAAAAATACACATAATTATTAATCTTATAAATGAGATTAAGTCGCGAATTGTTTTGTTAAAAATATTGTAAAAATATAGGTACACAAAATGTATTTTCTTCAATTAATGAAAATGAATATTTATTTACATCAAGTTGAAGATCGTATAATTAACTTCAAAATATACACACCTGTCTCGGAAAACATGTTATAAACTTCTAGGGCACGCAGATGCGCCCAATAACAACTATTTTACCAATATAGTACTTGTAGTGATACATTTTATAAAACAGAGGTACACACATGTTACTTGCCTCTGATTGTATGGCAACTCACAGATGTTCGGCAGGTCATGTTTTGACACAGTCAAGAATATTTCATGTACCTGCTGAACGCCAGATATTATGAATTTGCTTAAAAATCAGGAAATAACTTATACGTCACTTCGTTATATGAAATTTAGCACTACATGTTCGTTGGCAAAATGTGGTCGTTTCGAGTCCAGATGTGTCCTAGAAGTTTGTAACATTTATTTTGAGACATCTAGGGACACTACGTTTTCATCGGAGTGTAGACTATACAGAGTGTACGCGGAGGAAAGTCGAAACTTCGAAAATAAACTCTTAAGACAATTTTAAACATATTTTGTCTAATAAACTTCTGGGATATTCACAATGATTTAGCCGCAATAAGTACTCAAAAGTTGGTTTGAAATATTTGCTTTCTAGGCAAACATTTGCATTGCAGAAGCATAGAAACCTACAATTAAAAAAGCAGTCGAATTATGTAAATTGGGTGCTTTTTTATTTCTGTGTTAATTCTTCTTTCTGATCAAATATATTAATTCATTTTGTAAATAATAAACAATTTACATATTTCTATGCTTCTGCAAGGCAAATGTTTGCCTAGAAAGCATTTTTTCAAACCAACTTTTGAGTGCTAATTGCGGGTAAATTATTCGGAATATCTCAGAAATTTATTACAAAAAAATATGCTCAAAATTGTTTTATGAGTTTATTTACGAAGTTTCGACGTTTCCTCCCCGGTCACCCTGTATAATAAGATATATGGTGGGGGAAATGGTTAGTTTTAAACAAGGCCCCCTCCATGTGGATCTATTGCCCCATGCCTTTTGCCGCCGTGCACTCACCGTCCACCCAGGAGCCGTTGAAGCCCTGCGCGGCGAAGCGGCTCTCCAGCACGTCGCCGGCGTCGACGCTACGCCCGGCGGCGGCGGCCTCCCCGGGCCGCGACGAGGACGGGCCGCGGCGCGCCAGCAGCACCGCGCCGGCGATCACCAGCGCCAGGATGAGCAGCGCCACCACGCACGCCGCCATCGCCGCGCGCACGCTGCGCCGGTACGAGTGCGACGTCCCCATCAGCTCCTGCGCACACAACGCGATCGCTCGGTCAATCATCCGTCTAATCAAAAACCCTCAAAGCGATAAACCAATCCGTCAGTCAACCAATCTGCCACTCAATCCCTCAAGCAATACGACAATCAACCACTCAACCAATCTGTCACTCAATCTCTCAAGGAATCCGTCAATCAATCCGCCAATCAATCAATCAATCTGTCGATCAATAAATCAGTCAATCAATCATTCCGTCAATCAATCATTCCGTCAATCAATCATTCCGTCAATCAATCAATCAATCAATCCGTCAATCAATCAATCCGTCAATCAATCAATCCGTCAATCACTCAACCAATTCGTCTATCAATCCCTTATTCAATCATGCACTCAATCTTTCAATCTTCCAATAAATTCTCCAATCCACAAAAAACTATTCAATCAACATATTCAAAATTAGCCAATTTATTCAGCCAAATTGATCTCTGAGCTATAATCAAATATAATTAGTTATAATCAGTTTGAAAGTGTAAATACCGATTATGGCCCTAATCTGACGACCAAAGATTTACAGATTCGAATCCGGTATTCTAGAATTGGTTTTCTAGTGGATTTGGGTGATTTCCTATTTAGAGGAAGGTGAATGTGATAAATCATGAAACACAAAAATATCAGGTAAGACCGTCTATAAACGGTCCACATCACACCTCTATTGAGTTATCGCGGCTAAACAGAGAATAGATTCCAACTAGTACGAATTGTTACGCCAGTAATAATGATGATCAAATTAGAAACTTATTCCTTAAAACGGTCGCCATGGTGGATGCTAAGGCAGGCTAACTCTAGTACCTTAGCCCGATGGATCAGGGTTCGAGTTGTCTCTTCGGGCGCTATTCCGAGAATCATCCTTCCATATTCCGTGTGCCACATTTACCGCTTAAAACTGTAGTAACAATAGGAGAAACTATTCTATATAGCTCTGGTGATTGAATAATATCGAGCCAAATTAAGATATGTATGAGTCTGTTGCAAAAGCAAAAACATTTGTGAACCTCGTAGTGTTATGTGTTTCAATGTCCGTTGAAACACAAACAATACTACAAATAAATGAACATTATTCGTAAAGAAAGAAATTTTGGTAATAAGTGACGTATCTAGTCTTGTTGCTTTTTTGTTCATCTGCTTTGGTTATCAGTGGCATAACAATACATTGGAATGATATCCTTTAAACGCTTCTAAGTTTGAACCAATTACCTTTAGGGCTTTCTTGACCCATGCAGGCACACAGGCTTGTTGTGAGCAAACGCTTACGAAGTCAACAATTTACGTAGAGAAGATATTTGGGAGTAGGAAGTGCCTTCCATGAAATTATCACTGATTTATTACTATATAATTAAATGTGGTGGTATTTTATTTGGACTGTTTCATCACAGAGTTTCGATTAACCAATGGAGTTACCATTATTTTGATATAAGATTCTGTAAAACAAATTCTGAAATTATCTCTCACTGTTTCTAATAAGTACACGATGTTTTTCATTCTTTATAACTCAAACGTCAAGTTTTGCAACGTTACAAATAAAAGGGGCGTTATTAAAAAATCGCATTACTGTTAAAAGCATAGGCGCATTACTGAAAGTTATCAAACACTCATCGCCTCTAGGGACTGCTTTTTTGGATATGGGTCACTTCATTGTCTATATGAATGAAGTGTTCGATATTACTAATGGGACTAAGCAATTACAGACATAGTACTTAATACTGTCAAGACGATCATAGAGAGGGGGAATGTGTGAACACGAGCAATGAGAAACGAGCAATGGGAGAATGAGAACAATAAAGACTAAATATATCCATCAAGATTTGTCATTGCATTGGAATTGGTATTTTTTTGTGCTTAATGATCACCGCGTCAACCGAGTAGACCGAGCGAGAAAATGAGAGATTACTATCATGATTGATAGCATGGTCGAAGAAATTTAAGGAACCCCCATGCGTTTTTAGTGTTTTGCCTCTTGAAAGATTCACCAATGTTTTTGGAAAACGTGACATAATTCGTAAATTTGTATCGGAATATTTACCGCCCAAGAATTTATTTTGATTCACTGAAAAGGAGCATTCAAAATATTGGTTTTTACACTTCAGCTTTATCAAATGAGTCAAAGGTTTGAATAGAAAACTATTCTACAAATACTTTGGGCTACATTTGTGTTCAAACATTTTTAATAGAAAAATCTTGGTTGATGATTTTAGAGGATGTTTCAAAGAATCTAAAATCGAGGTGAATGAGATTTTGGCTTCACCTACTTTTGAAAACCATACATAAGAATTGTCCGCGCAATTTTCTAAATTTTTATTTTATTGAGAAATGCATACTATTTTTGCTACAACAAACTTACAGGAACGCCTTTTGCAGGAAGCTATGTATTTTTCTATTTGTTGACTTCCCTTAGAGTCACCAGGATTGCGGAATTTCCGCGAAGGAAATATCCATAAGAATTATGTCACAAAGACTTCAAACAAACGGCAAGATGAGATCTTCAGAAACGTTTTCGAGCGCAAAAACAACATGCTCAACGAAACGTTTTTACTTTCGTGTGTATATCTTCTAACACAAGAACTCGTTCTAATTGTTTACAAACATCCTGGTACTCCTCATGTCTAAAAAACGAGTAAAAGAACAACACACGTTTGATTACGAAAACATGTTACTACTGCCTTAACACTTGTCATATGTAAAACGGAACGGTATTATTATTATTATTATTATTATTATTATTATTATTATTATTATTATTATTAAAATAACTGAAATATAAAATATTTTGGGTCTTCGACAAGTGTACTCGGAAACTAGTTTTGTTATGGTTTGCAACAAATGCATTAAATGTGATTACTAGGCTGTAGAATTTGAAATTAAACGTATTAATTGCTAAGTTGCTTAGAATTTACATCGTGGTCACGTTGCACCATACACTTTGCCAGGAATAGCATTATTACGTTTAGCTAAGATTCAGTGATGTTGGTTGGGACGAGATAGACGAATGATTGCTATTTAAAGTACATACAAAGGGAAATATTTGTGTGTGTGTGACATTTCAGGAAAATGGCAATTCGGTATTCATTAATTATACCGCATATTTATTGTTATCATAAAATTGTAATATTCTAATGAAATACTTTTATATTCTATCGTACGATTCCAACCCAACCAGAGTTTACAAACTACAGTACCTTAGTTCCGTGTTCTTAAATCTACTAAAGGGTCGAACCAAAATCTTATATTAAAAAAATTAATGTAAACTGTCTTGCAAAAACGTTTATGAAAACTGGAATATTGTTTGAAAATGTTTTATACTAGTACATCTTAACTAGAGAAGTTCAATTTCATTCATAATTTATCGAGAAATTCCAAAAATATTGGATTTTCTCTTAAATTTGGTTTAATGCAATCTGCAATGTACTTAAGTATTGCGGAGTTGATGGTCTAGGTGGGTGGGTGAGCAAAGCATGGTCGGGGTGGGGCCAGGTGAGTCAGGCTGAAGCTGAGCTTGGAAGGTATGCCGTGGAGAGAGGAGCGGGGCTGAGTGAAGGGACGGGAAGCGGTACAGTAAAATTTGTATGCACTCCTCGGAATAAAGGTTGGGCATGTAGGGAGATCGAATATTCGTTTTTGACAATGATTACGAGTGTGAAACGGTTTAGACAGTTCCGCATATGTAGTTGTAAACTATGTACCCCTGGGTTGTAGGCAACTCATTCTGCTCTAGTGTTCGGCAGGTACACGAAATGTGTCATAAGGTACTCTTTTCAGACCAACTTCTCCACATGTCATAGGAGTTTGTAATGTTTATTCTGAGATATCTAGTAGTACAACGGGGGAGGGAGACGTGACACATTTTCATAACTCATGTTAGAAGGGACAAAATATATTTTTCTCACGTGCCTTAAATGCCTGACAATGACGTCTGAATAAGATGGCATCAAAGAATGCGGCACAAACTTCGCAAAGCAAACTGTTCAGTTTACAAATCGATTGGTCGATTGTTTAATGTTGAGCAGATGACCGTATTGCACCTTTCGAGAAGTTGAAGTAGATGCTGAAATCTCAACACCGACGATAGCTCATTGAAAAGTGCAATGATCCGTGTTTATATAAAATAAGAGATATTATAATCTGTGTTATTTGAATTAAAATCTATTTATTAATATATCATTATTCAGAATTCACAGTTAAACATATATCATATACAGCTTAAGTATGGGTTGCGGACGGTATGTACGAGTATGATAAATATTTACAGCTTTCTAAAACTTACGAAGAAGTTTCTCACGTCGCGTAAAAAAATTACACTAATGAAAACTTCGGGTTGTAAATAACAAATATTCTTGATATTACAACGTGGCCGGTATTGATGTGAAATTCTTATTGTGTTATATTAATATAATGTTCCAGTAAAAAAATATGATTAAATGTGAATTTTGCGATAAGAACAGGATATTTCAATGCCGGGACATAGTTACCTAATGTACACAGGAAACACACACGTCAATAACAATAATGAGATGGAGAACTTCACTGAACAAAACAATTTCGTTGAAAAAGAGTTCAATGAATGAAGCAGATTAATGGTGGAGACTTATGATCAACATAAATTATAACATATACCATAAAAAACAAAAAGAGTATTAACATTGGTAGTCCAAACGACGATTTCGATTCATGAATGGGAAGTATAATTAATCGCTACCTAATCACTTTTGCAATTCTTTCATGCGAGTTATCGATGACCTACAAATTTTATGCGCACTACAAACCGAGAGCCCAGAGCAACCATGCGTCATTCCGTGAATGAAGCTCAGTCCTCCAGCAGGAAATCCAACACGCAGTAGGAGCGACGTAGCCCGCGGCGCACGGTCGCGACCGCGTTGTGCGGTTTTTCGGTAGACCGCGCGGAGGCGACGGGTTCACGCGATCGGCCGCCGTTTTTCAGCGAAGACGTCGCTAACGAAGGCCTGGCGTGCAGCGGA